TATTTGTTTAATATAAAGTTGCTATGTTGGGATATGTATTTGTCTATATTATTAACGCAGCTAAAGCTGATCTTTACATTATTTTTGTTAAAAATCTATTTTAGTATTTTTTTTAATGGTTAAAATGCTGATGGATTACATTTAAAAAAAATCTTCCCATATTAGTTTGAAAATTACGATTAAAGGGTGGATTGAACCATATAATCTTTACGCTGACGGTGTTTCTGTTTATTTTTTAGCTTCTTTGTCAGTGCGTAGTTCTTAAGCCTTTATATATCTAATTTTATTATTATCAAATATTTCCTTATTGTTGGTAGATAATTTAACTTGGACTGATTTATGTAAATTATCAAGACTTTTGCGGAGGTGGTTTGATTTTTCACTGACGTAGCTATGGATATATAGCTCTTTGGTATATGGATTGTAATAATCGTTATTCAAGTAAAAGGTCACATTGAGAAAGTTGATCCCTGTAGCATCGCTAGTAATGGTAATATTTAATTCGTGATCTTTAAAAAATTTGATCAGTTCCTTTCTCAATTGATCTATATTTAGTGGGCTTGTTTTACAAGAGAGAATTACACCGTCAGTTCTAAAGAGTCTGGTGTCCATAATGTAACGGCCAGTCTATACTCACAGCACCTGAAGACTGTGTTGTGCATGAAACTCCGAGTCGTGCTATTGGTGAGATAATATATATATATATATATATATATATATATATATATATATATATATATATCACATTGAATGCTGAGGTTAATAGAATGGTGCTCTTAATAATATAACGGAGCTAGTAAGTATATAATAATAAATATACATTTTTATCCTCACCAGTAGTTTCATTCACAACATAAACTTCAGGTGCTTAAATTAAATTACAGTCAGTTTCAATTCAAAACCTGAATATTGCGATGTGCAAGAAACTCCGTGTCGTGCTACTGGTTCGGTTTTATATATATATATATATAGATATATATACATCTATATATATATGGTATAAAATAACAATTGGAAAAAAAAATCTTATATTTTGTCGACGCGTTTCGTCTTCCGACATTTTCAAGGCAAAAATGAAATCGAAATGTTTTTGTTGTTATAGTTACATTAAAAAATCCAAATTTAGAAAGATAGACGCTTCTGTCTAAGCCTTTTTTCTGGTTAATGTAAATTACCTTTATAGTAAGTGATTATTATTATTATTTTTATTTTTTACCATGTCGACAATATATTAAATTTCCAGATGAATTCTGTCTTGTCCACAGAATTCATCTGGGAATTTAACTATATATATATATATATATATATATATATATATATATATATATATATATATATATATATATATATATAACGTATATTTCGCCCTCGCTATCTTTGCAAAGTAAGATACATTCATACCTGAAATCTTTGAAACAAAAATTTAAACGAATATTTTTCATAAATTGGCTTGTTATAGTTAAGGAAAGTTTTAGAATTAGATGCCAATTATTGAAGGCCAAGTAAAATGCAAATTTCAAACACTTTTCTGCACTATATAAGACGATATTCCTAAACAGAACTATTTTTGATGCGAAAATCAAAACAATCCTCGAGTAAAAGAATTCGTAGGGGAATTGAGCTCCAATTTCGAAAACAAAAACTTTGTCTACCATACTGATAAAACCCAGTTACAACTTAGCCGAAAGTAATCGGAACAATTTATCCACAATTTTGATTCCGATTTACTCCATCTTAGTTGGTACAAAAAAAAAAAAGACTGACCGTGTTGCTTGAATTTTCAAAACTTATTTAAATTAATACTGGCAATAACATAAATTTTTAATTTATACAAATGTGATTCAGGAATGAGAAATTACAAAACTGATATATAGCATAAAACAACGTTTCTTTAATAATAATTCATGAAAGCCAAAGGTAATCGGACACCTGAAAATTTGTATTTAAATATATACCGAGAACCAAGAAAATGGCCCAAAATATAGGAAAATAAATAAATCCTTAACAAAAGACTCTCGTTGGTCTTTACCCATATACATATATAAATACATGCATACATACATACATACATACATACATACATTTATATATATATATATATATATATATATATATAGAGAGAGAGAGAGAGAGAGAGAGAAAGAGATAAATAGATAGATAGTGTGTGCGTACTTGTGTATGAGTGCCTGCGTCTGTGTATGTGTGTGTGTGTGTGTGTGTGTGTGTGTCACAATTTAATTCTGAAAATTACTGCAAGCCGTCGCTGGGGTAATCAATCAAAAGAATGTACACGTTCATGTACGAAAATTTGCAAATTCTACTTTCTTGAGACTCAGACAAAATACATCATTGGTTACCGAGCAGTAGAGGAAATTGTACGTCTTTGTGTTATACTGTTGGCGGAAAAATGAGGAATGTTGTGGAAGTTTTTTTTGTTTTTTTTTTTGTGAAGATTGGCAAAAGTGCTGTACATTACTTATACTGAATATGATTAAAGTAACAGTAGATTTAGTATTAAGAAAAAAATTCTTAAGAATGGTGATCTTGAATTTTGTCAATTTCCGGATTTGTAATGTGGAAAAAACGGGATTACTTACCTATTGCCAGCTGTCATATTCAAAGTTGTAGACTCCTTTTGAAACTAGAGACGATAGCAACCAAATAAGATTTCACTGATCATTTCCTGGAATAAAATTGTTACACAGAGTGTGATAGATAGATAGATAGATAGATAGATAGAGAGAGAGAGAGAGAGAGAGAGAGAGAGAGGATAGATTTGATATTTATAAAAAAAATGATATTTATTTTCTCCGATATTCATCATCATCATCCTTCAAGCTCCCTATGGTTGGTTGAAACTACATTGACAATCCCTTTCCACACAGTTTGGTCCTGTATTGTTGTCTCCAGATCCTCAAAGTCAATTTTCGTGAGAAGACACTTCCAAAAGGATGCCATAGGAGTGAGGATGATGTGATGTCCCTGTCCGCTCGGTGGCAGTTGCCGGAAAACTAATCGTTTTGGTTTGAGCTTAAGAGAGATTGGTCTCAATTCTCCGTAGATTGTGTTAAGTGTTGCATGGGATCTCCAACTGATGTTCTCGATTTTTCTTAGTATAGTCTCCATCCAGTCGCCTTTAAAGATGAACAGATAATGTCCAAGTTTCTGATACATACAATAGGATTGGTTCAAACAATGTTTTTTTTAAGGAGGTTGGAAAATTTGAGCGCCAAATCTTATTACACGTTTCCCATGCAAGATCTTTGCGGATGTTGAAGATTTTTTGGGAATCTATGATGTGAGATCCAAGATATTTGAAGTCCTCAACTCTTTTGATTGACGTATTATTGAGTCATTTCAACTCGAATGGTTCAGGGGAGGTTGTTATGTATTCTGTCTTACTCTCGTTGCAATAGGGACCTACCTGGTTCGCTGCTTGCTCGAATGACTGCAGGAAAAAAGGAAAAATTAATGCAAGATCGTTGGTAAAGTCAAGATCAGTCCGGTATGTTGAGAGTACCGACTGTCTCTAATTACTAAAAATTATACTATTAGTATATTTATTACTATAAATTATATATTATTATTATACTGCTTTTTATTACGATAGAATCTTATCTTTAGTAGATGTTCAAGAACTGACCTCAGTCAGTCAACTGTCATACTTGGTACACGATTGGGCGATTATGTCTCTTTTGATTTATGACTGACTAAGCTGCCGTTTCTTTCTGCGGTAGACTGGTTGTCTGTCCTGCTACTGAACCCGTAGGTGGGAGGAGAAAAATTGGATTTATACGTTTTCCCAATGATATTTGCGCGTAAGTGAATGTAACGAACCGATTGGAATAAGAACACGGCTCTGTAATTTCTCATAATGAGCCGTTATCTATTACACCATCATTGTGTGATGTCATGAATCGCAATGCGATATTTGCTTCCTGCATTTCATATGCACGATTTTATCGTTGCGTAGCATACTTGCATGCAAACAAAACAAACTATCATTGTTACAATGTCCGCATAACCAATCTAAAACAAAAAATTACCATCTTTATTTGATTTATTATTTAATTTATTTTAATGCACTTGTAATCTCTGATGATGGCTTATGTAAGACGAAAGCTTAGACAGGATTAACAATGAAAACATGTATCAACATGGTGATTTTTTTCGTGTTTCAGTGATAATGCTAAAAACCTTATTCGACAATATGAAAGGAATTTACTTAAAATAAATAGACAAAACTTGTCTATATTATTTAACTAAACAGGCATTAATAATAATAATAATAATAGTATATATATATATATATATATATATATATATATATATATATATATATAGGATTAGAACGAAAGGCGGTCTACGTGTGCTTCAGATTTAATAGGCTGGTTAATAGAATTTGAAGAAAAATTATCCAACAAAATGAAACCAATATTGCCAACCTTTTGCTGAACTGAAACGTTTTCGATTCAACGACCATAAAAATCATCAAGGACAACAAGAACGAGAATTTTCCTGTTGCTACACACTTCAACCAACCATTTCATAGCTTCGAATGCATCAGATGCATGCTTTTAGCGTCTTCATTCAACAGTCGAGAAGAAAGACGCACATCGGAATTGAAATTTATTTACAAAATAAATTCAAATATTGAGGGAAAAACAGGAATTTGGGTTTACTCAGAAAGTATAATTTTCACAGGGAGGAGCCTAACCAAAAGCATTCCTCAGAAGATTTTCACTTCTTTGTTTATTCCTCGTATCGTTGAAAAAGTACACAGGCGTGCTCGAAAATTACGATATCAAATCTCTTCTTGCTTCAATTCAGTGAAAAGGTTAATATAAATCAAATATAATTTTTATCACCCCCACACACATATATATATATATATATATATATATATATATATATATGTATGTATATATTCTGAGTTAGTAATGTAGGTGATATCATATATACGTAAATACAGATAAATATACAGATGTAGACTGTGTGATTCAGCTGATAGAAAGAGTGAGAGAGAAGGAAAAATTAAAAGATAGATAGATAGGAGAGATAGAATAGATAGATAGATAGGGGAGAGAGGGGGGATGTGTCAGAGTCTTGAAATTAAGGAATACAAAGAATCATGTTATCTCCTCGTGTCTGGTATGAGGAACAGATGTGTTAAGCCAAGAGGGGCGGCTGGTTGGTTTGTTTCTGGAATTTTCTTATATTCCATCTTTGTTGATGGTGAGGAATAAATACAGATAAGAAACTTGGTCATGAGAAAGATATTCTGTGAGCAAAAGAAAGAAAGAAAGAAAGAAAGAAAGAAAGAAAGAAAGAAAGAAAGTTAAAGAGAAAATGAGGAACAGAAAGAAAGAAAGACGAAGCGACAGAAAGAATGAAAAAATGAAAGAAAAAAGAATGAAATAAAGAATGGAAGAAAGAAACAGTGAAGAAAGATTGAGGAAAGAAAAAAGAAAGAAAGAAAGAAAAAAAATGAGAGAGTGAGTTAAGGATAGAATGAAGAAGGAAAGAAAGTAAGAAAGGAGAGAGTGAAAGAGAAAATAAGGAAAAAAAAACAGTGAAAGACAGAATGAACGAAAAAAGAGAGGAGCAATGAAAGAGGGATATAGCGAAAGAGAGAATTATGAAGAAAAGAAATAAAATGATAGAGAGTGAAAGAGAGAATGGGTAAAGCTAAGAAAAAAGAGAGAGTAAAAGAGAGGACGAGGACAGAAAGAAAGAGAAAAAAGTGTGTACAATATAATAATGACAAAGGAAAAATGAAAGAGAGATAGAGTTAAAGTGAGAACGTGAAAAGGAAAGGAAAGGAAAGAAAGAAAGTGAGAGGGAAAGAAAGAGATGCGGAAATAAAAAAATAAAGAGAATAAAAGTGTGAATAAGAAGAAAAATAAATATTGAAAGAAATAAAGAAAGAAACAAAGAAAAAGAAAGTAAGAAAGAGAGAATAAGGAAAGGAGAGAAAGAAACAAAGCATCAAATAAAGAGAAGGTAAAAGTTAAACGCACATCTTCACACACACACACACACACACATATATGAAGCAGTCTACGGGGAAATGATGGCAACGTGATCTGTGGAGCTGGAAGATGTGATGACATGGCAAAAGATTTAGACAGGCTTAAATAAACAGATAAACAAGGGAGACAAAAGGCAGGGAAAAGGAAAGGTGGGAGGTCAGTCAGATCGTCAAAGGTTTGGGATGAAAAGGAAATGCGTGAACGGAAAATGTGATTCAAGAGCCGGTAGGAAAGAAGAGAAGGAAAGGGAGATGTGGATTGAAAGAAGAGAAGGAAAATGAAAGGCGGAGTGAAAGAAATGAGAGAGGCGGAGTGAAAAGAAGGAAGGAAAATGAAAGGAAGAAGGAAAGAAAATGAGAGGCGGAGGTGAAAAAGGAAAGGGAAGGAAATGAAAGGCTGAGAAGAAGAGAGAAATGAGAGGCGGAGTGAAAGAAGAGAAGGAAAATGAAAGGCGGAGTGAAAGAAATGGGAGAGGCGGAGTGAAAGAAGGGAAGGAAAATGAAAGGCGGAGTGAAAGAAATGAGAGAGGCGGAGTGAAAGAAGGGAAGGAAAATGAAAGGCTAAAAAAGGAAAGAAATGAGAGGAAGGCGGTGAAAGAAGGAAGGAAAATGAAAGGCGGAGAAGAAAAGAAATGAGAAGAAGAAAAAAATGAAAGAAGGAAGGAAAATGAAAGGCGGAGTGAAAGAAAATGAGAAGAAGAAGAAGAAAAGGAAGGCGGAAGTGAAAAGAAGAGAAGGAAAATGAAGGCGGAGGAAGAAATGGGAGAGGCGGAAGAAAAAAGAAGTGAAAAAAAAATGAAAAGGCGGAGGAAAAGAAATGAAGAAGAAGGGAGGAGGCGAAGAAAAAAGAGAAGATTTCAATAATGTGCCGAAGTAGAAGAAACATAAAAAGGTTAGGAAAAGAGAAAGATGAAGAAAAAGAGTGTTGAAAAAAAACGAAGCAGAAAAAGAAGACACACGGAAAGAAAAATCGACAGAAAAAGAGAAGGAAGGGGAAAAGCTTAAAATGAATTATAAAAGAGAAGGAGAAAGTTAAAAATAAAATAGAGATGAAAGAAAAGCATGGCGAAGAGAAAAGAAAAAATGGTAGAAATAAAGGAAGAAAAAATAGATGGAAATTCGAAAAAAGGCGGGAACAAGGGCTATATCAATAAAATGGAGAAATATGACAAACACTAGAAAATGAACAAAAGACAAAGTAAAAGAAATAAAAAAGAGAGAAAATGGAGGGAAAAGACGGGAAATAAGGATGGATGGGAAGTAAAAACGTGAAGAATGGTAAAAGAAAATAAAGATGAAATAAGATAGAAGAAGAAAGGAAAGCAAACAAGAAATTGAAAACAAAGCAAAAGACGGAATGCAGAGAAGGGAAAGGATAATCGATGGACGAAAGAAAGGAAAATATCAACAAAATGAAGAAGAAGAAGAAGAAGAAGAAGAAGAAGAAGAAGAAGAAGAAGAAGAAGAAGAAGAATGGTGCAATGGTTAGCAAGCTTGTCTTGCTAGATCAAGTAGGACTGGAGCACTCTTTCAGATATGCGGGTGATGTAATGAATAGAGACTCGCAATGAGAAAATGGGATAGCCGATTTAAAATTCTGGTCGTGTCCGTTACGTTCATTTACGTGCAAATGACTTTGTGAATGGTATGAACAAATCTCCTTCCCTAGCTATGGGTTAAATCTAGAAATAGCACTGTTATAACAAAAATCTTAATGTAATATTTGCTTACAAAAATATTCTTACAATCCAAATTATTTCCCGGTTTTAAAAGGAAATATAAAAGAGAAGGATGTAGTGAAAAGAGAATAAAAATAGTGTTTAAAAAAAAAAAATCACCAAGGTGGTCATAAATATTTCAAATAAAACAAATATTATAAACTTGGCGATGGTATGAAAAAAAAATATTCTCTCCCAGCTATGGGTTAAATAGTTGGACTTCTATCTGGAAAAATGATAAAACGAGTTGGACTTAGCTGGAAATAAATATTAAACTAACGAAATGAAACAAAGGATGAAAAAAGAAATAAATGAAGGACTTTAGTCGAACTTACCAGACATCTTGCTTAAGCTACATTTATCACAATTTCAGGGCCACGTACAGTTTTGAGTTCAGATTTGCCAATCATTATGGTGCTATTTAACTCATAGCTGGGGGTAAGGCATGAATTCAAACCTTTCCCTAGAGTATTTTTGCGTAAGCAAATGTAATGAACTCGATTGAAATTCGAACCGAGTCCCCTAATTTCTCATTTCAAGCCGTTAGCCATTACTTCAAGCGTACATCTAATGTTTACAACAGCTGTGGGTTAATATCAGTTTTAGTGTGTAAACATTGACTTATAAAAAGTACTAGGAAGTGAAAATGAAAGATGGAAAGGTTGAAATAAGAATAGAGAAAATGATTTTAAAAATAGCCAAAGCACATACGAGGGGAAATAAAGATAAAAATAATGAAATGAAACAAGTATAAAAAAATCAAATTTCAGAGATAAAACAATAAAACAAAAAGCCTCATCAATTTGCTTTTCCTTGTTTTTTTCATTCGATAAACAAATATATAAAATAACATTGTACCAGAGGAAAACAAATGATTATTGTTTTATGAAGTCTTTTGTGAATTGTCACTTTTTAACAATATAGCAATCCTCAATTTTAACATTTAACACTCTGCAATATTCTTAAGTATTTCATCTTCATCCATTGGTTATAAGTGGACATAGAAATTTAGTAACATCATCTTCAATTTTCCGTAGACATTTTCTAGTTTCCATAGTAGGATGTGACAACACTAGCGCAAAATTCAATCACTCAATCATTTGATGATCAGAGTTGCAGGCATTGTCATTTTCTTTTACAAATGGAGTCATCTATGTACAGCGTGCAAAAAGTTAAAGTCGCAACGAAAGGTTGTTGAACTGCTATGTAAATATCAGTCATCGTATATGGCAATGAAGATGATAAATAAAACAACAAAGATGTGGTTCTACAGAAAGATGATGAGATTACCGTTAACGGAATATGTAAACAATGAGAGAGTTTTAAGGAAACACAAAAAGGACACTTACACTGAGAATCAGAAAAAAAAAGATAACGAGAAAAGAGGGCTTGCAGAAATTGACTCTCACAGGATATATTTAAAACAAGACAGCCTGAAGAGAACAACAAGTACAGTGACTGGGAGGGATAATAAAACAGGTTTACAATGGAGAGGAAGTCGTGCAGGACCATGAACACATAAAAGACAGAGAAGTAAAAAAAATATTTATGGTTGTGATTATTTTTTTACTTAAAATCATCGCGAACGTGGTTAAAACGGATAATGGAAGTTATATTTTCGAAGAATACTTGCATCGCTTAGCGTACCGAAAAAAGAGGAGGAAAGCGAGAACGGGTCCCATTATTTAACATGTCTGAAATATAAATAAAATATTGCATTTTTATTAGACAAATCATAAATAACCATTATATATTTTGACATATAATTATTTCCTGAAAGTTTAATTTATTTTACGGCAACTTCTCAGACTATCATTATATGAACGTCTGTTAACAGCCACTAGAGGAAACTCATTCCTTTCGCTTCTGAAAGATTGTATTTACCTGACAACTGTTCTACTCCTTAAATAAATATAACCCCACGGTTTCTTTTTTGTGTGTGTGTCATTTCCCTTCAGGACGTAGGCGATCATGGACCTCTAAATTTCCCTGTTCCTTGTAACTAAAAAATTTTGTCTTTTTGTTATTTCCCCCAAACGCTTTTCTACGATCCATTTACTCAAGCTCATCTACTATGTTATGCGCTGTATTCCTCTGTCCCTCCTCCCCTTAATCTATCCTGTGAGTATCAGGTTTTCGAAGCCCGCCTTCCACATTACGCGTACTAGAAATTTCAATGCCTCTTCCAGATGTCGAGCCAGAAATTTGCAAATGGCGTGCTGTATTGCTTCGCATCCGCGCCAGGAGCTCCAATACGAACATTTCAGTGAAGCGGAAAGAGTTGGAGGTATCTAATGGTGATTACGAAGTGTTTGGAGTGATCACTAATGATGGTAACGTATGCCTCCATTTATCTTCCAACATGAAGATATCAAGTACCTTGAGGATGTAGTGCTGCCCTGGGTCAAGAGGGTCGCTGCTGGGAGACCCTATGTCTGGCAACAGGACTCTACACTTAGTCACACAAGCAGATTAACCCTGTCATGGTTGCCAGACAATTTCAGCGATCACATCATCCTTTACATCTGGCTACCTAAGACTGCACCCACCTTAATTATTATGTGTGGGGCGCAGTTGAGCTAGAGACCAATAAAACTCCTTGTGATACCAAAGCTGAACTGGAGGCAAGGACTATGGCAGCATTCACTAACTTAAAGAAGGAGAACTTCCAGTAGTGATGCAGGAGATTCCGAAGTCGTCTGGTGACCATAGTTGAAGCCAATGGCGATTTTATTAAATAAATTTAATCTTTAGTATTTCAAGATATTTTTTTGTGTATTTTACTAAATATATCTGTCAAAATGAGATGTCAGTGTTGTTTTCATTTTTGCGTCACTTAGACGACAATTTATCCATCGCACTCTGTATACCTTTCTATATGTGTGTTCGTGTGCGTGTGTGTTATTTCTCTCAAACCTTCTTCAGCCATCCATTTACTCAAGCTCACTGAGTAATTTATGCATTGTTTTCCTCTTGTCTCTCTTGCCTTCAAATCTGTCCTGTGAGTATCATATTTGTCAAGCCATCCTTTCCTAATTATATGTCCTTGGAATTTCAGTAGTCTCTTCTCGGTTTTAAGTATAATTTTCCTTTTTGTTTCCATTTTCTTCAAAACCTCCATGGTATCTTCAACATCTTTCTGTAGTACCACATTTCTGTTGTGTCTTCGTCATCTTTGAATAGATTGCCCAGCATTCGCTACCAAACAGGAAGACATATATCATGTAACAATATAGTACTCCTTTCTTTGTTTCTGACGAATCTATTTCCAACGATCTCTCGGCGCTATATTTGATGTTAATATTTTTATGTATCCGACTGCTAATAAGAAGGATTTTTAGGCAGTTTAACGGATACCGGTGCGAAAATGGAATCCGAGAGACCAGTTTAAATTTTGGGTGTTCAATTTGATACAAATACCCTTGCGAAAGGCATGAATTCATTTACTTAGCCACAGAATTATGGCTTAATGAACTGGGTCGGTTGAGCTCTTTAGACTTAGGAGGCAACGATTCTAAGTGAAGAAAAATTACGGAATCGCAAACTGCGGGAATTCAACGGGAAACCATTTCACTAGCTTTCCCAAGAATGCGTGGCAATTCACAAATAATAAATGTTTACGTTGAAACACCAGTTCTCGTACGATTACTGCAGTTAAGCAACGTCAAGCCTGGTCAGTTCATAGATGGCTGACCGCTTGAAAATATCAAATGTTGTAAGCTTGGATGTGCGGGTGGTGTAAAGAATAACGACTCAGAATTGGAAAAAGACGAACCGAGTCCCAATTCCAGTCGGGTTCATTGTATTCACTTCTGTGTAAATATCTTTGGGAAAGAGTATGAATCTAACTCTTCCCCAAGCTATGGGTTAATTAGTAGAACTTGTATCAGAAAAAAAAAACATTATTATCTCTAAATGTTCTTACAATAAAAAACAACTCAACTAATCGACCATAGATGATAAAGGAGAGTCATGATTGCTTGCAGAGATACAGTATTAATAAAAATCAATGAAATGGCTTTGAAAAGTTCTAATTTGAAAGTCCGTTTAGTTTTACGTTCACTTATGAAGATGTTTCTTGTTCCCCAGTTATCGATTAATTTGCATGGCAGGATGGGTTCTCTAATCTTAGGAGGTAACCAATTTAAAAGAAGGAAAACCACAGAGGAATCTATAGGAAAATATTCCACTATCATTCCCAAGAATAAAAGTTAATAAAATATTTCCCCACGTTGTGAAGGGAAATATAAATTGAAAAATTTATAGGAAAAATATTTATTGTTTTAGTTGAAGAATCGTCAAACTTTTGATCAATAATTCCTTTATCTTAATTTCCTTTATTGATCTTCGAGAGTCTAATTTTCACGATCGAAAAATGGAAGTCTGAGGAACTGCGAAACTACGCAATATGTCAGGTCAGTTTTGGAATCCTAGTATTGCACTCAACTTGAAAGTTGGTGTTTGACATGAAAAGTAATAGCACAAAATATTTTTCTCTAAATTCTTATCGTTTTTTGAAGAGATCAGTTTCAAGATTAGGTTGAAAATCTTAGCGTTTCCATTCCGGTGATCATTAAAGACATATCGCAGCCTGATGAAATTTATAATTTTCTTAGGCTTTGCAAATTTTATATAGACAAGATACATGACAGGAAGATGTTATTACTAATTATTGCCATCAAATAAAACCTTCATTTACATCAAAGGGAAATTATACTGAAAAAAATAGCTATATCATATGTTTTATAGTACCGTACTTTTAATGTGATTTTCAATAAAAAATGTAAATTTAAAGATATGACGTCTTATAATTTGAACCTAGCAGTATTAGTGCGTTATATATATATATATATATATATATATATATATATATATATATATATTTTTATTTATTATTTTGTTTTAATTAATTATGCTCTAACAAATTTTATTCATTGAGTAGCATTTTTGGTAATCTTTTACAATTTATTTTTTACATAGTTTTACTTATGGAATGGAGTAGCAAAAATGTTTATTTTAGTTGCGATGAATCATAATTAGAATTCTAGTTAGAATATATTTTGCTTTCAATTTATACGAAAGATATCAAATTTATTCCTGAAATAGCAAAATTGTGAAGTCACTATGTCAGTATAAACTTGAGAAAATTAGGTATATCTGTACATTTCTCACACAATCTTTAAAACTGAATCTTCAAAAACTGGTAAAAGGTATGAATCAAATCTATGGTTTCAGTATTTATAACGTCAAATTCCAGCTTTCACACCGAGAGCAATGTTGATTTTCTAAAGAAAGGTGCAAAGTCAACCATCCCGAAAACAGCAAGTAGAACTAAGATGTGAGAATAATTAGACACACTTTAATAATGGCGATTCGAAATGTGTCTAATACTTCCCTATAACTTAAAAGCATAAAAAATACGGCTGAAGGCAAAGATATTTAAACTTACAAGAAGAAATGTGGCACAAATTTACTTCTGTGTGGGTGGTACGTCGCGCACAGCTGAAGGTCATATGTTGGATCATCCACAAATTGATAGGATCTTTCAATTATTGTCACAGGCATTAGCCTGTGCCTCTGTCTCTATCTTTCTTATACCGATAAGAAGTGTTTTTGGCGTCCGATCCTCTGGCAGGAGTGACGCGAACTACCCTCGATAAGAGAGCTCAAGCCTGATCGGAGGCCTGGCTAGTGATTTGTGACCCTCGCTATCTTATCAACATTTTCTTTTTGTCTACATTTATATAACTTTAAAATTAAGCTATAAAAGGTTAAATTTGTTTTCCTCATGCTAAATCTGCAAAAGCAAATTATAAAATTCATTATATTTTTATCAATAATGTTGAATGTGTTAAAATTCTTCAACTTTTTAACAAGAAAAATCTGAAGTTGATGTTAAAATTTGCCGCAAAACATTGCTGATTTAAAATGGAATGATCTATTGTAACATGTCTCTAATTTGTTTTTAGATATATTGGTTTTAGATATATTTCTTTTTAGATATATTTATTTTCAGTTTTTTTTTTGTAGAATTGTTATGCTATACTGCATTTGTATATTGTACGTATTTAGGTTACAATTTTATCATTGTACATATTTAGGTTACAATTTTATAAATACTACCTTTTGAAAATTGTGATGTCGTAGAGTAGGTGGCTTGTAATATATTCGGGGTGCACGAGACCCTTGCACCGGCCCTATCTTCGAGCATTAGTTAATTTTCATTGGCCCTACATCCAAAGAACCTGGCAATGAGAGAAATCACGTTTTAGTGAAATGATTTGTCAGTTTATTAACCTGTTACTAGTGTAGTGGATTTCAATTGTCATGGATGCTAAATACTTATATTTTAAATCAGCAACATCATTTTCATGATCCCCATGAACAGGAGTGGTCCTAGGGTCACTGCGCATCTATGTAACTGACTAGCTCCCTCCGAATATCTCCGCAGAATGCCAATGCTTAAGTCTCTATGAAAGAACTTCCTGTCCATTCAGTGACGTTGTCAGTTCATTTTTTTCACTTTTATCCGCCTTCCCTTTTTTTTGCCAAAATTGAGACCTTGTTGGTTCATATGACGTTTCTATACACTTTCTTCTTTCTTTTCTTAACGTTAGTTATAAGCTTTTAAAACGAGCCTGATGGTGTCTCGCACTATGTCGTTTGTGGTGTGTCTATGTGG